TCTGTTATCTTACCACTGCCTTTTCTGGCTGTCTTAAACAAAGTTCATATATTTGAAAGGAAAAAAAAAAAAGTCATTTAAAAAAAAATGTTTTTCTCCTGCTGCAGTAAATATTTTGCATGATGAGTTCCAGGGTCACACTTTCAAAGTTTATCAGTGAAGTAGTGATTAATAATGGGGGAGTGTCAAACTATTGAACTTTTGTATAAAAAAAAAAAAAAAACTTTACAAGGTGCCAAGATGTAAAGACAATTTGTTACATGTTTTTTTTCTCAAAGAAAAGCGTACATTATGAAAGTAGTACCATGTATCAGGTAAATCGCTGTCAGGAATGAGAGTCAAAGCCTTCCTTGTCCACAAAAAAAAAAAAAAGAGTTTGTAAATGTAAAACCTGTTAGGTTTCTGCATTCAGCTAGAAGTGAAATGAAAAATCAAGGCTTATGTAGAGTAAGTGACCACAAAATATGACCTTTTTTGATTCTCACTCGCAAGAGTCCAGCCACGATTCCTGTAATTCCCCTCTTCTGGAGCCCTGACTTCAGAAAGAGACTGGGGCAGGGATTCTGATTCTACAAATATTGCAGATCATTAGATATTTTATATATATACATACATAAATATATATATATAAAGTTTTTAAAAATAATTTTGAACTATTGTAGTTTTCAGATTGCCAATAATGTCACGTTCATTATAGCATGGAAAAAAAAACTCTTTTGAAATCCTTTGGTACCTTTGGTTAATGAACTCAGATTGAGTTTTTAGATGTTTCAGAAGTCATTTAGTATTCTAGTCTTGCGAGGTGAATTTGCAGTAATGACTGCATTTTAATGGACCCAGAACAGGTAACAAACTATCTTCTACCCATAAGCCTTGATGAAAATGGTACAGTCCAGACTGTTAGCATGGTGCTTTGTGTGTATGTGCTGCCAGTAACAAGATTTTTTTTTTTTTTTTTTGATAAGGCATAAAAGAAACTCATTCCTTACATCAACTGTAATTCCATCATTCCATGTCTGTTGATACAGACAATAAAAAATGTTGTGTAGTCAGTACTAATTACTGACATTATAGCATTCTCAAATGCAATAAAAATGCTGGTTGTTCACACTGGTAATGCAAGTTGCCATGTCCTAAGTTTTTGTTTTGTTTCTCCCCTCCCGATGACTCCCATGTCACATCCTCTGCGGCCCTGGGCCCCAGCACAGATCCTGCGGAGCACTTGGTTGCATCTCACCCATGTCCCAGCACTTCATGGACAGTCTCATCGCTCTCGGTGGGTCTCCCCACACGCATCAAATCACGAGATTCCAGCTGCAGTTTTGTGGCTGGTCTGAGGGTGGTTATTTAAGTGTTGAGCACTGGAGATGAGGAGATGCTGTCATTGGAAAAAATTCATCCGCTTTCCCAAGCAAGTCCATCGGTGTTTGGCCATTATGTTCATGGGGAGTTGGGGGTATTCGCTTTCTCACTGGACTCTACTTCAAAGGTGAAAGCATGAAAGAAGGGTTTGGGTCCTAATCATGCAAATCCTTCCAAATGGGAAGCCGTAATGGAAGCTGTGCTGCTGGCTTCAGGAGGAAGGGCTTGGCAGGTATTGTACATAGGCAGAACCGGGACTGCACGATCAGCCTCAGTCCACACCACCACGAGAGCAAAATTCCAAGTTACGCTGTCACCTGAGACAAACTTTGAAGGAAAAACCTACTTTCTTTTCTTTTGAGTAAGCACGCATTTATTTTCTTCATCAAGTTTTATAAAGAAAAATAAAATGTTTAATAACTAGCATTAGCAGCAAACTAAAATTTCAGAGGAGAGATTTTTTCATGAATAATTCATTAAAATTTCACATCTGCAAGATTAGTCATCCAAATAAAATGCTAATGTCAAAAACATGCACCGTCTATAATATTCTCATCAAGAAATCTTTTTGCATATAATGATAAATGCTTAAATTAGTACAAATGATTTTATAAAAATATTCTATCATAAAATTATACCAGATAACTACTTTTTTTGAGGGGGGAGGGCGAATCTTGCACACTCATTATAATGTGTCTCAAAATGGTACTGATGTGTTAGATTTTATTCAAAAATACAGAGAATAAAATTTGGGTTTAGTCATGTGTTGCACTTTTATCACTAGTGAAATTTTAGTGCACCAGAGAGGTCCCACTTTTGTAATTAGAAAAATTTTCCTAAGTCAGTGGCAGAGAACTATTAATTTTGGCAGGACTGCTCTGCATCTCTAACACATGGGTGGCAGAGCTGCCTCCAGGTAAAGGCGGAAAAAGGCCCGGAATGGGGTCCAGGGGGACTCTCAGCCTCTTGGTTGAGGACAGCACAGAACAAGAGGGGATCCAGGCAGCTTGTGAGCACTGAAGCCGTCACAGATGAGTTACTTATTTCACCTACTTGGGCGTTGCTGCACTGGTGCACCTATTGCACGTGCGAGGGTTCACAATTCAGCCCAGCATTTGTCATCTGCTGGCTTTCTGTGGCCTCTGATTTAAGGGAAGCTGCTGGGGGTGCTGTGTGACCTTGCCCTGAGCTGAGGAACAGGATCAGGCCCTTCCCCTCCTGCCTGAGTTAATGCTGCTTAGCAGGGGGAGGGAGCATGGCCCTTTGCTGGGCTCTAAACACAGCTTTCTGTATCTTTGCATGAACAATCCCAGGTCTCCTCCCTGGCAGCCATGTTGTGGAACATCACAAAAAGCCCTTCCTCTTTCACAGTGCTGCTACCAGCAGCAGCCAGCTGGAAAATACCTTTGCCAGTCACAAACATTGATTTCCATCACAGCTGAAAGCACTTTTATGATCAGTGGTGAGGCAACGTGCCTCCAAAGAAAACCAGAGGCCAGTACACAGCTTTTCTGGGTTTCTGTTGTACCAGGGAGGAAAGCAGAAGAGAACCTCGGCCTAGCACAGGAGCTGGAGACGCACCATGAAATGGCCGGCGCTGTGCTCTGTTACACACAGCTGCCGATGATCTGTGGGGACATCTGGCTGGGCTGCGATCACAGAGTACGACAGATTTCACAGTATTGGCCTAATGTCAGGAACCACCAGCTCCTGGTGCTCCTTGCTCCCACACAGCTCACAGACACACCCCTCTTCACAACAAAGCCTAATTAGCCCTCCTTGACCTATTGATTAGTCTGCGACCTCTCATAGGGCAAGAGGGAAGGGCCTCAGGTTGCACCAGGGGAGGTTTAAGTTGAAAATTAGAAGAAATTTCTTCTCAGAAAGAGCGGTCAGACATTAGAAAAGGTTGCCCAGGTTGGTGGTGGCGTCACCGTCCCTGGGGGTGTTCAAGGAAAGGCTGGACCTGGTGCTTAGGGACATGGTTCAGTGGGTGACATTGGTAGTAGGGGGATGGCTGGACCAGATGAACTTGGAGCTCCTTTCCAGCCTTAATGATGTTATGATTCAGCGATGATCTTAAATGTTCATTTGACGGTGTGTTAATCAGGGCCATCATTAATCCTCCTTGTAGCGATAGTGAGCGCTACCCTTCACCCTAATACCACTTTGTTGGCCATGGCCAGCCGCTGGCCACCCCACCACTGTCATGGTCATGGGTGCATTGCGGCCACACACACACGGCCACAGAGGTGGCCCCACGCACCCTTTGGTGGTTTGTCCCCAGCCGCCATGGCTGAGGCCTAGTGAAGGCCCTCTCTTTGCCCCATTTTGTCAGCTCCATTAGACAGCTGCAAAATACATGAGCTAGAAGTAGTAAACAACAACATTGCTTTAGGGTATTTAACACAAAGGAGCTTCTCCTCCCACTTTATTCAGGAAAAAAATCCTCCATGTGGAGGAAGAGAAAAAAAAAAACCACCGCTGTGTGTGTAGCTGTGTCTGTTTGTTTGGAGGCCTTCAGCGGCCATTTTTGATGCATCTCAGAAGCCTGAAAAACATTCTTTTTCTTGAAGTTATAATGGTAATTTGAAGGTAACCGTCCTTTCAAGGATTAATTCCAGCCAAAGCAATAACCATTATTTACCAGAGTTTGACATTTTTATCACTCATCATATTAGCAAATTTCCATTGAAAATGCTAAAATGGTTCGTCATAAGGCACATAACTGCTTTGGCTGTAAAAATGACCAACACAAGTGCCTGTACTCAAACATTAAATTATACTGTAATTAATAAAGACAGTTAAACTGTCTACTAGCAACAGCAATTTAGGTAACCACATTTGATCGGCTATAAATTGTAACTACATTAAAATTCCAGAAATATTAGCAATATGGATTACTTGATGGAAATAGGTGCTGATCACCAACACTCCTATTTTACAACGGAAGCACAGGTCATGTTGGCCACAAAACTGTGGGCGAAGATCAAGGCTGAGTACTTTTAATCTTGTGAAACAAGCAATTACAAATAGTTGCATCGATTTGTTAAAAAGCTTTAGGTGACATAAATTGTTTCCTGTTTAGCTTATTGCTCTGATACATAAATGTCACTGAGTATAATATTAATTAGGGTCACAGAACAACAAGGGTCGGGTGATATAGTGTGCAATCATGGATGTGTCAATCCTTTGTGAGCGCTGGGGAAGGCAAGAAAAGCCCAGGTCTCCTCCACTGCAGCGCTCAGCTCCTAATTTTATGTGATGACAAAAGAAAGTAAAGGAAACCGTGTTTTAATATGTGAAGTAATTACTTTAGTACTAGTATAATTTTACGGTTTAGGATAAATTACAATGTTTTCATTCTCGTGCTCTTGCCACATAACATAAAAATCCACATATAGCATCAATAAAATAGAATACTGTTTATAAAGGCTTTCTGCTGCACAAGACCAACACTATTTCTCCTAGCATATGGAAACTAAGCACACATTTCAGTCTGGTGTGTGTTTCTACACTTAATATTTTTTTTTTAAACCCAAAAATGGGCTGTGCAGGTTATTTACTTAACATAAATCAAATGTATCATATACACTGTTTCTTTGGATTGGCATACAACTTAGAAAAATACAGTAAGATTCTGAAAAATCTGGAGAAAATTTATTAAATATGATTTTTACTGTAATAGAATATTAATGTAACCCAATGCTCATTTCCCATTAAGTTGATCCCTTTTTAATACACACATGCTTTTTATTATTTTGCACTCATGCGAAAATTCCACATTCAGAGAGTTTCCATCTCCTTAGGAATGTCTCTGGCAAAGGCACAGTAAGAAATCTTGAACTGAAAAAAAATAGACAGCAAATATCGAACGATAAGATGTGGCAAAGCGCTGATGAACTGAAGCAAAAGCCAATGATATAATAAAGGGTAAAAAGGCATTCAGCACTGCAATGGGAACGGTAGAAACAATTACACTTTAAATCCCTCCTTCTCGCTGCCACTGCACCACAGCACAGATGAAAATGTTTGATTTGCAACATAAAAGATTCATTAATTACCACTTGAATATTTAAAGCTATTTTGCAGACTAACAGAGGTAGATAAAGCACTGAATTAAAACCTCTAATAAAATTGTAAAAATATTTCTGCAAGTTTACCAGTGTTGCGATTCCTCCCGGTTTAGGGAGCCAGGCTTGGCTTGTTACAGAATGAATTTTTTTTCAAGTGGGTATTTGAAGTAAGATGGTGCGATTGCACAGCGCTATTTGTCTCTCATTTTCAAATGTTTACCAAATACTTACTTGGAATCTCTCTCTTCACATGTGGTTACCCTTCATGGGAGAAGTAGCGTCTACAAAACAATACAATGGATTATGAGTGTGTTTGAGCTATACTTTCATTTTAATACATTTCCATATACAGTAAAAACTCATCTATGCCTAAGTCTGGTATAATATTCTCTCTGATGTGAGGCAGTTGTACTTTGTGGGGGGAAAAGTCAGTTTATCGTACTATAATTACCCTTATTAGACTGTAAAAAAAAATAAAATAATAAAGAAACCAGCTTGGAACAGTATCCTCTTCTGCAAGGGTAGAGAACTGGAGTAAATTGCAGAAATGTGCATCGTGAAGAGCATCACTGTAACTGCACAGTGCACCCTGGATTTGCACCATGGAGGCAGAGCTGTTAACTCAGGGTTTAGTGACTCTCTTGTATTACAGATTACAAAGGCTGAATTGTGTACACCCCAAAAGCATAGTTTAATTTATATTAAAAAAAAAAAAGGAAGAAAGAAAAAAAAAAAAGTAAACATATATATTTATTTGCACAACATCTGCCTGCAGGCAATGGTAATTTAGCCTCAAACTGTTCTGAGCTCCACTCACCAACTGATATAAATCTTGGTGGCTGAGAAGCTGAATTTGACACTTAACAATTGCAAATATTAGTTTTTACCTGTTTGCTTTCAGCTGGCAGTCAGATTTTTTTTTTTTTTAACATTCTATTTTTAAACAAATGACTATTTGTAATCCACAACAGTACAGTGAGGGCTTGATTGCAGGATGAGGGTTGAAAGCTACAGTAACAGCTCTTTCAACAGTATGTTAACAAATGTAAGTAGAGCCAAAGTGTATGACTTTAATAAGAGAAAAACAGTTTCACTTCTTTCTCATTGTCATTAATTTATGCAGTTGGCCAATGAAATTCAAAAATGTCCAGTTGTATTTGGATACACCCTTTACACAACTGCTCCTATTGTAATTATTGAGTGTCCACCCCACTTAAATGGATTTTGAAAGTATTACACTGGATTTCTGTGTGTGGTGCCTGATTTCAAACGTTACTGGCCAAGAGCATCTGATGAGGCCGCTGTGCTGCAAAAGGAGCCCCGCTAGGGGCTTCCTTAACCTGGACCCCACCTTCATGGGCAAACCATAACACTGCGTCTTGCCAGAAAGGAAAGGGCGTTCTCACAATAATTCAGACCTTGCCCTTTCATATTGTTTTTGGAAAGTCCTTTCTCCCCCCATTTTTATTTTTTTTTGGTTCAATCTGCTTGTTCATTTTTGTTTGTGCTGGGCACAGTTAGAGCCTGTCCGTCTGAACCACAGAGCCCACTGCAGTGCCAAGCCGACCCCGTGCAGGTGCCTTTAGCTCAGCTGAGCATTGCTGCTGGTGCACTTAGTGTGCTTGAAAAATGGGTTTCTCCCAGTAGATTGTAAGCATACGTGTATATACATACCCAAATATGCTTTTATATATGGGAAAGAAGTTATGCTAGTCAGAGCTTCTTGAAACCTGAAATGCAAGGAGCCTTAGGACTGCTGACTTCCCTGAGTTTAGTATAGATGGCCACGTAGTTATCGACAGGAGCTGGCCCCAACCTGGCAATGGCTCTTACCCATCTTTGCCTTGAGCGTTGTGAGGAGCCCTGTGTACTCAACAGCAAACACGCACACCCATCCATCACAGTTTTGGCTTTGTCACATCCGCAGGCATGCAGGAGGGGAAAATTATATTCACGGGCCATGACATTTATTGAAAACAAAAATAAGGAAAATAAAAAGTAAGACTTTTTATTATTTTGGCAAGGACTAGAGCTTAATTTTAATTACACGCTGAGGTTTTTTTCCTCCTGTTTCCTAGACATACCGGACAGGCTTGTACTGTATATGATTGCACGGACAGAGCTCTGGAGAGCCTTCCAAACACATGGTGCTGATGACTTGTGCTCACCCTTGCTATTTTTAAGTGCTGCTACCTTATGCTGCATTTTCAAAGTTTCTTCCTGACACCTCCTGCAGTTTGGAGCATTCTCACCTGTTTACCACACTACCGAGTGCTGGCAAATTCAAAACAAAAACATCTGATAAAAATCAAATATGATGTTGCTAACTGCAAAGTTCATTTCCCCTCAGAAGTCCTTCTTTAATTATAAAACCCGCATAACCCATTTCCTTTGGTGTGCAGAAAGGTGTGTAATTAAACTATCAGCATAATACCTTTCTACATGTAAAACCTGCACTTATGAACTTTAACTGCTGAATAAAAACTCCTATTACATGACCATTAAGTATTATGAATAAAGCAAGTCATTGTAGTACTTGATTAATTTTTATGCACTAACCATTGTGTTCAGCACAAATTTGGTTTCTGTAGGTGGCCTCTCTCCTGTCCTGGTGGCTCAGCCATCTTCTACACCAAGGTCCGAGGGTGCTCTGCATTCTCCTTGCTGCTCTTCTAAACATGGCCCGCAAAAGTCCCCAAGACTATGTGCTGTTTTGGGTGTCATTGTGGAGGAGGAACAAGTTTTGTTTTGCATTTTATAGTCTGGCTGGATGCAAGATCAGAGGGATCAATGGTAGCTTATTCTCACTCAATTCAAGACCACACGTCAATGTTTCCAAACTTTTTTTTTTTTCCCTGTATTTGACATCTCATGGTAAATTGAATTGGGTCGGTATTTTTTAACTAATAAGAGAAATCTGATTTGATCTTCTTTCATGCCAGTATACAAGAAGGCCCTCAGAGAAGAACCTGTCCATCTTGCTTGTGTCTCCTGTGAGCCCAGAAGCTTTGCCTTATGTCTGTTACCTACAGCCTTGGTCCTCACAGAAATGTGTCCTCCACACATTAGCTTCTTGCCAAGTGAAGTGGGAAAGCAAAAATAAATATCCCAACTAAAACCCACTACTCCAAAATCTCAACTGACAGCAAGATGGAGCATGCCAAGACTGAGGAGGATTATATGGCACTGGTCCTGGCTGCCGAGAAGCCTCCAGGCCTCCTCAGTGGCCAAGAGGACATCTCCCATCCTACGTGCAAATGTTCAGGTCCCCGAGCCATTATTCATCAGCTCCTAGCAGCCATGTTTCCATATGCTGCGTGATGATTATATTGAGGCTGATCTTTGAAGTCTGGAGTCAGGAAGTTTAGCTCAGTTATAATCAATAGCATTTCCAGCTCTTGGAAATCTGCACTAAGCACTCAAGGCAGCCAGTCTGCATTATGTCCTTGTCATATGTATATATTTGCATGTTCATTAGCCATGTAGTAGCACAGCTGTATGTGGTTTCATTTAGCTTTTAATTATCTTCTTTGGGTTGGTGTTTTCATCTCCACCAGACTTAGAAAAAAAAAAGAAAAAAAAAAAAGGAAAATCACTTAGGCAAAATAAATGCTGCTGAGCAGATCTGGGGCAAGGAGTACTATTTCTTTGTGCATCCTACTGTTCCGTTGCAAAAGAGATGTTTGGTTCAAAAGTTCCAGCAAATTAATAATAAATCTGTCTCTTCATTTCCCGCATCATATGCTTATCTTATTCAGGTGGTTGTGGGTGTAATTTTTCATTTGCAGCAGGTGGTTGTTTACATATTAGATAAACTCCATCCTTACAATCCTTGGCATGAATGTTTGTATTTGCTCCAACAGCTGCTGTTCCAGCGCTCACTCGCGCACAGATCAAGGCATCCTCCTCTTTTGATGGAAATGACTCATACCTCGGATGAGCTGAAACAGAAATACCATGCTCAGCTGCAGACACCTGCACTCATGCACTGGGTTTAAAAGTTAGGATGTGGGTTCTAGCTAATTTTATCTTCTTCAGGTTCTTATACCACACCCTTTATTTTGGTTTCTGGGAAATTTCCATTAGCAAGAACAAAACAAGGTGACTAATATCTGTGTTGAACTTTCTTCTCTTTCCTCCCAACCCCCCCCTCCCCTCAAGCACAGCAAGAAAACTTATGTGATTTATTTCTTTTACTGCAATCACTTGTAACAACGCCAGCCCTAATGCTCTCCGCTTTGTTTCACGGGGTTGCAGGGTCAGAGGTGCAAGGTTCATCTTTGGTCTGGGAAGCACTGGGGCTATCTGCAGCGATCCTGCTGCACAGACCACAGCTGGGGGACAGGATCCTGCAGGAGCCACGATCACAGAGCCGAGCAAACTGCACCAGAGCACCCAGTACAGCAGCTGGGGGACAAGTCTGTCAGGATGGCTGTCCCGGTGCTGGCTGGAAATTAAAGATTCATAAAGAAAATACAAAGATGAGAAACTGGAACGCATGGAGGTGCAGGCCTCTGTGTTTAGCTAATGGAGAGCGTCACTGGCCTTCACTGGGGAAGTATGAAGCCTGACTCTTTGGTTTGCTGATCAGCTTGTTCTCTTCAAAAGAGCCCTTAGCTGGTGGAAAAGAGAGTTTACAGCCTCTCACTGTTGAGCATGTGTCTGACGGGAGCTACAACTTGATTTGCCCGGGTCTTTCAGTGGTGGTGACTGGCATCTTATTGTCTTTTTTTTTTTTTTTTTTTTTTCTTCTTTGTCCAAGGAATGGAGCACATTCAGTGCTGATGTGAGGAGAAGGCTCAGCTTAACTGGAGCCAGTGTTGTTTTCCTGTTACACCAGTGGTTTATTGGGGGAAGAAATCCCAAGTGTCTATCAGGGAATTGGTGGCAGGCTGCCTGGAGCAGATGGTGTCTTAGCTAGGGGCGATAATTGTTCATGAATTAGACTCCTCTGCATCACCTTCCTCGCACAGACCCGGAGTAACGGCTGGAGCGAGCCTGGCCTGCTCTGCTTGCCGTTGCGGGAGCTCTCCTGTAGCGGGGGAAATATATTTTTATAGTTTGCTTACCTTGACACTTCAAACATTTTCCCAGCAAGCTGAAGGTGTAATTAAATGACATGCCAGATGCCAGTGTGCGCTATATTATACCACCTCTCAGCTGGGCTAGCAAAAGGGAATGAATGGAGCCTTAAGACAGCTCTCCTATAGATACTTATTATCTCTTTTCAATAAAGAATGGGTAAGGTTGAGCAGAGTGTCAGTAAACCTGCAATTTTCTAGCCTTTCGGTTACCTCTGTTCTTCTGATCCACCGGTGATGTGAAGTTTTGTTGTACTTTTTGTTCTGTCAATTGTGGCATCTCTCCAAGAAGGCAGCAGGTTCCCGTGTCACATATGCATATTTATGATAAGGTATGTTCTGATTTTCCCGTTGTGCCTCAAAGCAGGTGTGCCGGGCCTTCTGAGGCGGGTCTGCAGCACGGCCTCCTTAGGGCAGCAAAGTTCAGGGGCACTGTGATCTCTAAAAGAGAACCGCGAGTCGAAAGCAAAGCTCGCAGGGAACATGACAGCAGGCCTTCCTAACTTTAGGAAATTAAATAATTTTTATAACTTTAATAGCAGGATTTCTAGAACATATTTACTTACCTCATTGTATCTGCTACCTCAGAAGATGGATCTGGTGTATCTCTTGGCTGTTGCACTCAGGTTTTAGCGCTGGATTTCCAGCTTTCAGGACACCAGCCCAGTTCTCGGGGAGACAAGATGTTGGCTGTCACAAGACAAACTTGCCAGCGAGATTAATTTACTTACTTGGAAGTGGAAATGTTATTTTAATAACACAGCCAGCACGGGAATGGAGGTGTTGGCCTGAGCAGGGGTTGCTGCAGCATCCTGTGCTCCCCTCTGCTGTGAGGTGCTCAGCGCAGGGGGAGGCCGCTGACCCCGGCAGGGAAAGGACAGCAGGGGAAGGACTGTTTTCTGCCATCCCTTGGAAAACCCACACCGAGACAGGTCTTAGTCTTGGTATTTGTGTTTATCAGGAGCATGGGAGCGATGCTGTTTTAGTACCAGAGTTTTTAACAGATGACTTCTCACCATCTGCAGCGCCACTGGCAGCAGCAGGCCCAGGCTTGAGCCGAGCTAGGCCTCTGTGGGACGAGATGTTTCATTTGTCAGAAGAAAGCAACACCCCGAAACTTTCACACACTGTCCATTGAGTATGTGCAGGCCACTTCTGTCAGAAGTGAGAAGTGGTCATAATTAAAGATTAATTTACTAGCACTAAACCCAAAGTTTTCTCCAAAGTCTACTGTCAACAGACGCACTCCCTTTCAGTGACATTTGTATTTCTAATTGGGACTGCTTATTACCAGAAAGTCTCTGCAGCTGAAATTCAATTTTATATATTTGCCAGTTGTCCTCTTAAAATAATACTCTGCAACTGATATTACCTAGCCTTGCTTGCGATGTGTGTGTGCCTGTGAGTGGGCACAATTTCATCTTACCACGTGGGCAGGAGCATATGCATGCGAGGGAAACCACTACGTGCATCAAGAAGGTGGCTTGTCAGTGAGAAATGTGGAGAAGCTCAGTCTGTATAGAGAAGCCAGACGAGTAGAGCAGCAAGATCAGAAATGGAGAAGTCCTTGTGTCTGTTTTTGTACTGCAGTTAATGTCTTCTGTGTTCTCACAAACTATTTCTGCTTGGGAAGATAATTTCAGACTCCTACCGGTCTTAACAGAGATGGGAATCACTATCCTTCTCTAATTTACTGATTGATTTTTTTTTTTCTTCTGTTGTCCTTGAAGAACTGATATTAAGAAATCTCTTCAACAAGTTATAGTGTACCTTTTAGTCCCCTGGTCATCAGAAATTGAAAGTGGGCTGCTCTGTCACAGCACTCCTCATCCCCGTACGTCCTGCTTCAGTGCAGATATCAAAACCCCAGCGAGCAAAGTCCTGTACACATGCTGTGAGAGATACAGTGCCTGCCAGGAGAGCTTACTGCTGGAATAGGCAGGAGAGAAAGGAAATATTATTATTCCTCCTTAACAGATGGGAAACGAAGGCACAGAGAGTTGAAGAGGCTTGCCAAAAGTCAGACAGAAACCTGAAAACAGCCGGAGTCTGCTGAGACTCAGGCCAGTGCCTTAATCATTTGTCTCTTCATAGATTTTATTTCTGCAGTTAATTGAGTTATTCACTAGTACAGACTATGAAACTTCTGCCTTTAGCCATTGCACTGATGCTCCTGTATCCTTTTCTATCCGACCTGTAATTCCTTTCCATTTTCTCCCCTACGTGTGGAGCAGCCTCCCTCGTCCTCCTGCTGCTTAGGAAGGTGCTCTGCAAAGCTCTTGCAGCGCTTGTGCTCATCATCCCTGACCTTCCCCACAAATAATTCCTCTTGTTCTTTTCTAACCTCAATCCTGTCTGCCCACGGCCTTGTGCTAATTAATGTTTAATGCAGAAATCACCATAGATATCTGCTGAACCTTCCTGTGGCTACTGTGAATGACTCTCAAATTGAGATGCTCAATCCCCTGGGAAGGAACAATTTGTGGGGACCACCACAGTCACCCCATGTACATCTCAGCCCAGTCTGCTCCAACCTGGCCACAGCCCCTGCATGCTGCTCTGTGCTGGAGAAGTTCATGGAGTAAGCAAAGAGCTTATGCAAATCCTCTGCTATCCGTCATGAAATGGAGTTCTTCATACTTCAGAAATGATGGGAGAAACAATCTATCGATATTCCGTAATGAGCACAAATGCCCTTTATAAATTGTTTCCCTTTTATTGACTCTAAAGCAAATGTAGCCGTGAATGCTGTACATTAATACATTTTATACCTTCTAATGGTTTGATGGCCTCATATATCCAGTAACGCTGAGAATAATCATTAGATTGTAAGGAGTGCAAAATATGTTTTATCACTTGAAAATGGAATTCCTTCTTGAAAGGTAAAACCAGTGGTAGATCATTGATTTGAAAGGTCAGGGTTAAAAAGCTTATTAACGACTGGGTTAAGCTCTAGTAAAATTCTTTGTTTTACTCAGCTGTATGAAGCATTTAGCTAAGTGAGACTCTTCATTAGGACATTAGTGCTTTTATACTAGCTGTGTAAGGTAAAAATCAGTAATTTCCAGCTTATATTCAGGAAAATGCATTCCAAGTAGCACCGACGACTCCAAATATCACCGGGTGAAATGTGGTTGTGGGCATGACAGAAAGTGACGGCTGCCAAGTCCATAATCCCTGCCTCCAGTCCTCTGCTGGGGCCCCTGAGCAGGCATTGACCAGGCAGATATATCACCCAGCGCAGGAGAACGCTTGGTAGAAATACTAGCGTGGGTCCCAGAAGCCATATAGTTATGTCAGGATGCCACAGCACTCAGTTAATTAGCCCCAACTCCCTACAGGGCTTTAGATTAGCTGAAGTACCGGGTTTCACGGGGATGTGATGCTTCTTGCTTCTGAGCCAGGGGGTTTCTGAGGGAGGAATATGTGTGAGGCCCTCTCCACAGATCCCGGGCAGACGCCTGAGTTGAGAAAGACTCTGTATCTTGGGGATGCCAATGGCACCAACACGTGCCCCAGTATTGCCTCACACCCATCCCAGCACCACAGGAGCAGAAGGCCAAGAAGTGAGGCAGGAGTGGGGCCATTGTGTGAACTGTTGCCCACTGGAAATGATGGGATCTACTTGAAGTCACATAAACTTGGGGTAGGGACAACCTGTACAAGCTGGAAGAGAAGCTGCTTGCTGTCCTTTCAGGCCAAGCTGTGCTGGGGGACCTGGAAAAAGGACTAAATGTCTGAGTTGCTTCATGAAAGCGCGAACTGTCTCAAGGCATTGTGTATCTCAAGGCAAACGTGGACATGAGTGTTCAAACCGTGTAAAAGTAAGAAATGTGGGGGGTGGAAGGGGAAGAATGGAAATTCTTCTGGAAAATTCCCAAACATTTTGTTTAATTGGGAAGATGCACAGTGATACGAGCCTGTCTTCGAGAAGTTGCTTGTGTTGCTACAAGTGAGTATCTGGGGAGGGAGATGGGCTTTAAAACATGTCTGAGATGGGCTTTACCTGGTGTCTGGAGTGGACATGAAGAGGAGATATGAGACCAGCCCTGGCGTTCTGCTCTTCGCTGTTGTGTTCTGCTTTAGTGCGCCCTGAAGAGCCTGGACGTGATGCTGTAGCACAGAAACGAGGGACTAGCCTCCTAAATTTAGCACGGCTGTAAACAAGAGCAGATATTTTAATCCCACACCGCCAAGCAACTGCCGGTAAAGACAACGAGACCATGTCAGAAGTGATGTAAAATAATTTCAGACAGCTAAGCTTTATTATTTCACTGACGTAAGTAATGGTTGTTTTGTTAACAAAGTGCATTGCAGGAGAAGTGAAACTGCCTCTCCATCAGCCTGCGAAGCTGCAGCATGGCAGGACAAGCAGTGCTGGCACCGTGTTCCTGAAGTTGCAAACTTGAATACCAGGGGAAAAACCAGCCGTGGTCACACAGGCACTGAGCGTGCTGGCTGTCACCTTGGGGCACTTCCCTCTGTGTGACACTGAAAGCTTCTCCCCTCCCTCAGTCCCTCTGTGCTCGGTTGTGTGCTAGCTTTTTTAAACTTTATTTATTTTTAGCACCTGGAAAAATGCATGCTGTTTTCAAAAAGATCCTTAATGTTTGTCTACAGAATCTGCTACCTGTTGCTAACAAAAAAGAGGACCTAAAACTCTGCCGTGCTGTATTAAGAAGTCTTTTTAATGTTTTTAATGGAACAAAATAACAATACAGACTATAATACCTATAGCATGTGCTTGGTGCGGTATAATTGCTCTGGGATACTCAACCCCTTTCATATGAAGCAGCCATACCAACCCAACCATCGGAACAACTTTAATATTTTACAGTGAAATTAAATCTCAGATTAAACCAGATGGTTTGAACATTTCACTGCAAGTCGTGGCGCTTATTTGCTGACCATTGGCTGGTATATGTAAACACATAAAAAGCAAAAGAGCCCTTGGACACAAACCATACTCTCTCTTAGTTTTTCATTCATGGTTACAGTGTGGTTATGAACATTATGGATCCAGACAGAGTCTTTAATGGTGCTGAATTCAATTTACTTTTACCGATGAAAGGAGGAGGTCATGGAAAGTGCAAAATGGGTGGGAAGAACACAGGGGTTTCGTTACCTGTCCTGCCAAGGCACCGCAGCTCACAGCTTGGTGTGAATGCACTGCTCCACACAGGAGCTCAGCACCAGCATCCCCAGTGCTGCTGACCCTCAGCTTCATCCATCGGCGGTGGCTTGTGGCTGCAGACAGGGTGCTGTGCTCCACTCTGTCCTCACTGCTGACTTTGGATGCCTCTGGCTCACATGCCTGGCTTGAAAACCCTTTAAAGGGGCTTAAGCTGTAGGTTGCTGGTGCTTCTCCATGCTTCTGTTTGCTTACTGGACATAGGGAGCAGGACCTGTTGCACATAGAGGCAGAGAAGTTTTAATTAAATGTTTGCAAAGTACTTTGAGGTCACTGGATTAAAAAAAATGCTGCTTAAATGCAGTGTGAATATCTGGAGCAAGGAAGAAAACTTGTTGTGCAGTGTCATCCAGGTGTGTGTGCTTTGGTAACCTCAAGGGGCAGAGAAAAGCCCGGATTCCTGTTGTGCCCAGCTGTAGGGAGCATGGTGAAGACAGGCTGGTGGTTTGCACGGTGTGATGGAGAGGGCAGCACCGTCAGCCCATCAGACAAACACAGAGTGAGTTAACTGTGCCTTCAGTGGAACTAAATACAACCCTCACAATTACAGCAAGTACGTCCCCACGCTGCTGATGTACCAGCTGCACTCGGCGACGTTGCCCCAGGTATTTCATTTTTCAGATACCGTCAAACAAACAGAATTCTACTCTCAAAATAATTACGAACAAATCCATAAACATATTTAGCTTTGGCAGCACTGAAATGAATAGGTGTTTCTTAAAAGTGCAACTGCTGTGGCTTCAGCCATTTCCTATGCCAGTCAGCGCTGGGTTAGGGGCTTCAGGGAGACGTAAGAGGCAGCACAGTGAGCCAAGGGTATTCTGCTTTGCCTCTGCTTCATGATGCAGTAACATCATGAAGCTGTATTAGCACCCAGGGAGAACACAGTACCTGCATTACCGCCTCGTGTATGGATTAAGGAGGAGAACATTTCCCTTTGCTGTTGGTGTGTCCAGCAATCCAGCCAGCAGTTCTGTCCCCAGGAGTCGTGTCTGAACAAGCTCGTGCTCATGGAGCCCAAAGTACTGGAAAATAAAGTTAGGTTTTCATAGCTATAGTGGAAATAAAATATATATCTAAAACTGTGGTGCTAAGAGCCTTGTCAAGCTCTTGCTGAGCAGCAAGGAAATGGAGAGAAAGGTTCTGGGAATGGATAGGCTCAGCAAAGCAAACACACAGCACCACGAAAGGCAGAGCTCCCCGTGTTTCTTGTGGGGTTAGGGTTGGACCAGCTCTCCCTGCTGCTGGGGCAGCAGCTCTGTTTCTGGACTGGTACACCACTGGGCTTGCTGGGATCCCAGGTTACAGGACTGCCAGCTGCTGCATGGTTGCAGATCTAGTCCATATTACTGCAGACCCCTTAGAAATAATGGGTATTAATAATACAAGGCCTCATTTTCCACACTGGGGCTCACTCACATCTTGAAACGACAATGTGCAAAGACGCACACAGGTGTCCACATCTGCTTCACAATTTAAGCCTTAAACCCTGTTCCTACAAGGGCTTTAAGAAAATGAGCATCCAAAGAGGAAAGTGCAGGGGAAGGCATTAGACAGAGAGAATAACCTCTCTGTGACGCTCTTCTTTTAGGATCATAGCTACATCTTCAGACACATAATCCTTGATCATTGTGAGTTAGAGCTATCATGCAGAAGAGTTTGCTAATATAATGGCATATTGTTGACAACAAACTAGAAGAGATATTTAAAAAAAAATCTTACAATGCATGCTTAAAAGTGTAAAGAAAAAAAAAAAGAACTGTATTTTAAAAATCAGTATTTATCAATAGTCCTGGCTATAACTGAGGATTCACAGCATGAATGCTGAAAGAATGGAGACAGCATTGTAATGAAAAAAGCGTATCCATCATCAACAATACAATACTTACTCTGACCTAAGGTCAGGTTTGTACAGTTACACCAGATGTTAGATTTCAGCCGGTCTTTGAAATGAAGGAACACAATGGTTACTATTCCTGTAGTGTTGTGGATTTCATTAAACAACAGGTTTATCTTTCAGCTTTAAAATGTAGAGCAAGATTAGAATATTCCAACATTTAGGTTACAGAAAGAGCCGGTAAGCGTAATGTAAAGTAGGGCTGCTGGTAGAAGAATTGCTGTTCTGAATGCAGCAGCCAGCAATGTCTGGTGGCAAAATTCAGAGCCAGTAACGCAAGGGGTGCAAGAAGCACATGCAGTAGACAGCTGTAAAAGGGGAGGTGTTTCTAAAGCAGCCCCAGAGAGGGTGTGCTGGCCCCAGGGGCATGCACTGCCCCACGGCACTGGCACTTGTGTGAACAGGGCTCGCTACTCTCTGTGTCACAGCTTTTTTCTTTTCTTCCTTCTCAAGTGATAGCAGAGGAGTGGGGCCATCATTAGAGGGGCCTAGCCTAGAAAGAGGTTGCAATTGCTTAGGATTTCCTTTGGTGACCCCCTCTGAGCTAGGCTGCTACAGCCCCAGCTGCCCCCCTCACCTCTGGGCTCAGCCCATTCCTCCACATGGGAGATGTCCCCTTGCAACACTGGCTCCTCTTTTGCTGTATTTATTTAAGCTCTCTTAGCAGGAACTGTATTTATACATATATAGTAATTCAGATATTTCTTATGTATATTATATAGCATGTTGTATATTAGATGTTATATATATATATTCACACAAAACCCTAAAAAGAAAAATGCCACTCTAAAGTTATATTCTCATTCATTAATAATAATCAGGACTGAACAGAAGAGGCAAAAGACAGACTTGTGACAGCTATGAAGAAGCCTTTCATTTATCTTGTCCTCTGTTTTCTTCATCTTACAAAAATAATAATAATAATAAAAAAGTAAACAATTCCTGTTTGGGATAAAGCAGGTAAGGAAAGGAGCAAGGTACATGTTCTGAATTATTTCATTAAAAATTAAAGCTTTATAAAAGTGTACACATTTCATTAACTTCGCATTGCACGCTTTGCAAATATTCTAAGGGATGCTAATCTCCTGGCTTTAATTAGATTGAAGGTCTCTTGCAAAGGCTATCATTTTAATATAAAATGAGTGATCTTTTAAGCTTTGTGAATTAGAAAACAGGAACTCCCATTTTAGATCAACAGTTACACAGTGAAACAAAAGAGTTTGGGATTTTTGCAAAAAAGTTCAGGTTTTTGCCCTACCTAGTGTGCACTTTCAAAAGCCAGGCAGTGCAAATATTCACCTCCATCCAGGGATGTGTTGCATACACGTGTGCACACACACACACACCCCCCGACAGCCAACACCTCATTTACACTGTGCACAGCGCGCCTCCATCCTAATTCCACCCTGGTCCTTCCACAACATCAGGGCGGCACGTGGGCCCCATCTTTCCTGCTCTGATACTTTCTGTGTGACCTTAGGTGAGACAAATTGCAGTAAAAATAGCCCAGAGTGACCCAAAAATGGAGATGTGGAGGGGAGAGGAGTGGGGCTGAGCCTGGAGCTGGACGTCCTGCAGCTCAAACACCGCAGGGGTGGCGGGGGCACTTAGGGGAGAGGTATTCCAGCCATCCCCATCCAGTACCAACCACCTCTTCCCCACCAAGGACTGCACTGAACTCCTTTAAATCTGCAGGTTTTTTCTGCCCCCTGTTCGCCTGCTATTATCCCCTGCCAGGAGGCGAATTTTTATATTTCTGACCGAGATCCAATCTTCTTTCCCTTATCAAACATAATAGAAAATGCTGTAGTTACAGAATAACAAACTCACCTCCTGGATAAATGTCAATCTATTTTTAAGTGTGGGATCAGCTCCGGAGCTGCCCGTGATAACATATCACTTCATGCCAACGTGGTGCCCCTTCATTTCTTGTTTGACTCGCCGCCAGCCCTCTGCAAGCTGCGAGCGTGCTGACATTGCCTTGAACGTCGCCCCTTTTTCCTCCTCCAGCTGGTTCCCCTCCACCTGCAAAGGGCCTGATCCCACACGAGCCGAGGCTCCCACACGGCATGCAGTGCTTCTCTTGATAGCAGGGGCAAGGCTCACATCTGCTGTGTGCAGCCCACTTTTTGCACCTCCTTGGAAGGGGTCCTTGCAGCCACCAGGACTTCTTGTGTCCCAAAGCACAACAGCACCAAGCTGAGGAGCCTACTTCGTCCTGTGCCAGTATGTCCCTCCACAAAGTGGGTTACTGAAGCACGGGGGTGAGTTTTATTTCCCTTGCAGCACATCATCTGGGTACTGATTTTATACTAATCACATGGGCAGTTGTGGTCTTTAGCCTAACTGCAGCAGTATCCCCAGTTTGAGTACTTGGATACACCTGGGTTTCTGTGTTAAGTGTTTTTCTTCTAGAGTCTTATTCAGTTAACTTTCTTTTGACAAACTGCCTGTACAGCAGTGCAATTCTACCTTGAGCATTTTGCTGTTGGACTTTTGGACCCATAAGCTACTTTCAAACTCTCTTACTCTGTCTTTTGAGGATCAAGTTTTGGAGGCAGCAGTATAGAAATGCTTTACAGTCAGACACAGGGCAGGCTGCTTTATGGAATATGAGTGCAGAGAGGGACTTGTAAAAGCCCTCTTTTTTTTCTGTACTTGTGGGAAAAGACCTCCAAAACCATCGCTGGCATTGGATCCCATTTGAACAGCACTCAATTAAATAACGATTATTATTTTTTTTTTTGTTTCAGTTGGTCATTCATGCTAATTTGGTGTACAGGCTCTTCAAAATGAAGAGGGCTAAGCTCCAAGTTTAAATTTAATTAATCAATAATTGTCATTTTTAAACAATCCTGATTTATACAAAATTGACCTCTAGAAGAAGAAATGACTCCATTAATGTCTGTGCTCAGCTCTCTGCTGCGAAAGCTCTTTCCACTGACGGTCTTTCTGGGCAAGTTTCCTTTAAGAGAACAAAATCCTCAACTTCATTTCTCCAGTTCCCTAATTTTGATTCAGAGCCACATCTTTGTTTAAAGGTTTATGTAGATAAACCTCAATTTTGTCAATCTCAATTTTGTATAAGAAGCAGGATCAACTTCTAATTTCCAATGTTAAATCCTACGCTCTGGTTTCCACTGCAATATCCTCAAGATGACTATTCCAGGTTAGATCCCATGCTGGGCTCAACATTTAGAATAAACTCAAGTAACAGTAACTTCATTTACTCATTAAGACCACGGGCTTGCTCTGAAACTCTCTGATACACAGTGAGCTCTCTGAGTTCAGGCGAATACAGACAACAATGGCAGGGACAATAACAAAGGCATTTGGGGCTGCCCAAAATACAAATCCACAGCTTTCCTATTGCTTAAGGACACATGCAATAATACAATAATACAAGTAATCGTTAGTGAAAGTTGGTACATGAATGAGATATGAATGATCTTCACACAGAGTGCTCAGCTGCTGCCATAATGGATTGCTGTATTAAGCTCCTAGCGAGAGGAAGAAAAAAACATTGGCCAGCATATTTTCTTATGTACAGAATCTACTTTATGTATTCCTGATGCCACTGTAATATATGCTACCAAAACAGCACCAGAGCCACAGTACAGCAGTACTGGCATTGGGGCTGCTCTGGTGCCGGGATGCTGCCACTTGTCTCCTGCAAGCACTGCTGGAAGACAAATAATAAAGTAAGTGAGATTTGCAAGTATTATTAAGATATTATTAAGAAGTGGTCATTCTGGGATAAAGCTACAGCCCACCTTGTCCATTTGCCTCTAGTTTTTGGTCCCTTGGAGAAGGCAGGGCACACGTACGACTCTTCTTAGGCTATGCACCCACTCACAGCCAGCCAGAGCCTCCTGCATCTCGCTCTGCTCTTGTAAGGCTGACCTAACCAACACTTTCCCTGTACGTGCTCTGACAGGTGCTGTATTTGAACAAATTTTAATGGACAGCATATTAACTCTGGCGGCTTCAGACCACCGAGGCAGGTGGGCAAGTCCGCATCTCCTGTATAAACACTCCTGACTCTCATCTGCTTTGATCAGTATCATTCACTTCTGTGATCCTTGCTCTTTTCCAGCGTTGTGACAAATTTTTGGCTCCACGTCAACATAAATGTCTCACTGGCTATAATGGTGCTTGAGATGGGCCAGTTCATCTCAGTATCATACCCTGGCAGTTCAGAAATGATCTGAGGATATTGTGAACGCTTTCAAAACGTGCGTATCAAATCCTCTGTTGGACTCCTAATTTCTGAGCATCTCCTCGCCTTGGATTTTTATGACCTGGAACGCATGGGTACGCTTCTGCTGGAAGCAGAATGAAATGAAATGGAAGCAGAATGGAATGAGATGAAGCTACAGCACACTCAGACTCTTCCCTCCTCATACTTTCACTTCAAAAACTCTCTTCTTTAAGCATTGGGCTAGAAGTGAAGAAAGTTTGTGGCATTACTCAGGCCAATGTAGTAGAAAATTTGTATCATTCTCAAATGAAGAAAATTCCCAAGGAACAGGGCTGGCATTACACTGGTTACATCTTGGAATTTGACCCACAGTCAATGGGACTGTTGGATATACACCGTTAGTGCTCTTTTTTTTCTTTCTTTTTTCTTTCTTTTTTTTTTTTTTTTCCCCTTTTATTCTTCATATATATTTAAGTAGAGAATTTGGGGACCAGCTCCATAGCTTAGCTCCATCAGCTGTAATAGCACCATTCTTACCTCCATCAGAGGAAGTTCTGCCTTTAGATTTCAGAGGGTATAAGAAAATTCACCAGAAGAACCTCAGACTACACAGTTTACCGATTCTCCAATGTTTTCAAATTCCTGTTGCCCCAGGCTATTACCTCAATCTACTTTTTTCTTAGTGACTGGTTGACATCTTAGACACTTAGAACAAAGAGCATTGGTGTGATCTGCGTTTAAAGCAGCATGTTCTGGAAGTCATGCCTGCACTTACGTGATGGCTAACATTCCGCTCTTTGGAAATAAAGGGTATTTTAATCTGTTTCAACACTGCAGAGAGGTTTTTCTTTTTTCTTTAGAGACAACTGTAACATGCAGATACCCTAGTGCTCAGAGAATATACAGAAGTGTGTGTCTATGCACATGCAACGCAATCATTAGAATCATTTTCAAACCGTATGCTCCAACTCATAAATAAAGTCTATTAACATTGAACTATTGATCAAAATCAGGGATCCCAGCATCATCTCTTTCTCTGTAGGCTGCTACCTCCACCAAGGCTTATAAGTTAACATTTGAATTGGAATTAGCTCTTGTAATTACATTTATATTAATAGAATTATAAGGCAAATTTTCTTCTGAGTTTTATCTTCAAGTGATAAACTGAATTGTCACTTCAATCTACTGCGCTTGCACAGAGATTTACTATATGTGAACCGCGAAGTAATTTTGAGATTGAAACTTGGGCAATTCTCAGGACAGCCTGAGAGCACAGGAAAGATTTGTCTGCTCTCAGGTGTCTGTACCCCACAAAGATTTCCTTTCCCAGACCCTCGTTGGCTGCTCTTATTAGCCCTTTCTGTAACCCAGCCCTTGCATTAACTATTTCGTGTGTACAGAAATGTTTATACCTCTTGGGTTTGAACCTCCTTTAGTTTCTGTTCCTTTCTCTTTCTTGGAGCCTGTCCATTTGTTCCTGTATTTGACACTAGTTTTCTGACATCTCTTCTAGCTATTCCCCTCAGAATCATATATAAAATAATGATGTCCACCCTGAGCTTCCCTCTCTTCAAAAAGCACTGACCTAGTTTCTCTGCTTTTACAGTAGAAGTTCTCCAGTCCCATGTCAATGAGGTTGCCCTGACATATCTCAGCTCTGATAGTTATCTCTCTCTTTTAATAATGGCATCCTGAATGGGGATTATTTCCTCTAAATGCATCTTCATCTGTTCCCTGTAGAATATTTCCTTTTGAGTTACCTCTGATTGATCTGTTTTTGGTAGTGGGGCTAAGCAAAGATAGCTCTGATCTTTCTATCCAGGGCCTGACCACAGGTATGATGCCTGTGGACTTTGGCCAGAATTGGAGCCTTTGATAACATATTCCCCAAACCCATATAAAACACAATGAAAAAAGCCATAGTTTAAATTACTCTTTCTTATTATTAATGGAGCAGATCCTCAGACAGTGTAGTGGGTCACTTAAGTCCTTGTATGTGTGCAGAGACGACAATATTGCCTACCAGCTACTGAATCATTATTTTTTACAGCACTGCTCACTTCTTTCCTTCACTTTGCAGTACATTTTTTCATTTCGCTATGTCCAAATTCCCCTCTCTTTCTAAGGAACCGATTCTCCATCATCAAAGTCAGGGGGAGATCTCACCTAGGCTCCTGCAGGAACATCATCAAGGCCTGGAGTTTAATTTGGGTAAGTTTTCAGTATACTTCAGTTTCTTTTATTTTCCTTTTTTTTTTTTTTTTTTTAATTTCACTTTAATTTCTCTATCCTTGTTATTTACTTTTGCCTTTCTTCATGTTCTTTATCATTTCTCATTGACCTCAGACTGACTGACAAAGTGCGCTTAGGTTGTAAAAACTTCCCTTCGCCACTGCCTGCAGTGCTGATGCCGGAGCCGTGCTGCTGTACCTGCAGCCTGACAGCCTTTGCTTACGGGATGCCTGCCAGCTTTTAGGTTAGCATTACGTGTGGTCCCAAATACACGGCTGAAAGACAGCAAACTCCAGTGATATGGGTCTCTTCAGGGTGTGAATGCTAATTTGTATGTTCTTTTTGCATGTTTTTGAACCATCCAGACCGTGTAAGCAATTTTTCTTTCTGATGTTTCCTGAAGAATGGAGGTGTCCTCCGCCACCTGCCCCAGTTCAACTTTTGCCTAGTTGCTGTGTAAGGATCAGGAGAAATCAACCTGACATAAACGTTATGTCTAATTTTGTATGACAAGAAGCATCAGAAATGTTTACTAATTCACTTTGTACTAAGGGTTCCTTACAGTAGGGAACATCCAACCTGGCTTTGGAGAGGGTATTGTTTAACAGAGTAAGTGCTCCCGTCACTTGTGATTCATTTTCTTTTTCCCAAGTGGGTATAATCCTGATTTACACTAATATTACACTTATTTTTTTCTCTAAACATATAAACATATATATATTTCTACCAAAATATTTATGTGATTGGGTAACTACTCTGAGTGCTTTCTGTGGGATGGAGGCAGACCAAAGTGGCAAAGACCTCAATTGATTCTGTCCCACTGAAACCTCTGGACTTGTTCCCCAAGCCAGTCTTTCATGTAGATGTATTATCTCACTGAGAATTTCTTGTCAAACTATGTTAAGTAAATAAAAGAGAGGTGAAATATCAGCAACAAAGCTAACAAATGGAGCCGAATGCTCCACTTGAAAGAACAGATCTAGCTGTTTACCATGCTAATCTGAAATGAAATGAAAATGTATGTTTTTCATCTTTTCAGACAACCATCTTCAAATACAGGTAGCTAAGGTCTTTAACAACATAGATTTCTTTTTTTATTATTTTTTTTTTTAAGAAAGAAAAACCCTATTGTGGAGGCATCTTATATGTGTGTGTGTCTGGATCAGAGTAGAAACTGAAGTATCTATTGCTGTTGATAGACTTACCAGTCTGAGCCTGTACATCACACACAGTTTTCATTCCCATGGCTAATAAGTGTCCACCTAATAAACCCTGATAGAAGGGTACACGAGCACTTCTGCATGCTCGTTGGCCAACTGTCCCTAACCATGCATCAGGCCCTGAGCACCCCTGGTGGCTGCTCCCTGCCTGACCCCACGCACATGGATGGGGAGCCACTGCCAGCACCTAAAAATCCTTGGCAGCACCCATCCAGACGTCAGTTAGTGCTATCGGTAGCTCCTAATATTTGTCGCCTTCAAGTCAGCGTTTTCCCTCAGGGAGCCAGAAACTAACCGTGCTTTATTCTCTGCTTCCCAGACACTAAGCTCGCTTCGCAGCCCGGCTCTAGCAGCCTTCCGGAGGGAACATCCTCCCCAGACGGGCTGTGAGCTGCTAATTGCAAGGGAAATCCTGGCAGTGTCAGAGCCCGTGCCAAAACCTCCCTGACTGCAGCGATGCCGGGATCTCACCAGATGTCCGGGCTGTTTGTCCATCTGGGGGTTTCTCGCTCGGGAGGCCCTCTGGCCGGCCTTGACCTGCCTCAGGAGTCACGGCCCCTCTCGCATCCTCGCAGAAGAAGGGCTGCTTCTGACGCAGCTCCATCCCCCCTCCGTTCCCTCTGACGTATCTTTGGCATTTTCAGCATGCTGCAGCCAGCAAGGAAGAGAAATGTTATCCAGCTGCTGCCGCCGGTGCTTTTCCTCTGCCTGTCACCCAGTCCTGGTGCTGGGCTCCCAGCCATCATCTGTGCATCCTCACTTCACATCTCAAGGGAGCCTCGTAGTGCCTGCACGGGAAGGTGGAGTGAGCCTCAAGGAACTTACTAGTGAAGGAGAGGCAGGAATATGAAAGTAATTTAATTTTTCATGCGAAACTCTGTTAGGAACTAGTAGACTTTCCAAAATGTATTCCAAAGAAATGCAGAGATAGATTCCCGACCGGCATTAATCAGTGCTGATTAAGTCATGGAGCTACCCAATTTCTGCCTGGTGAGTACTTTTCCTGTCATTGATTTATTGCCTTCCTTAGAAAAATAAGACCTGGGAAATAAAGAGTTCAAGTAAATTTACTCAGTTACCCAGCCAACTGTTGACTGTGGTACCAGGGATAATAAATGTGGAGGGGAAATTCCTCCTGCACGTTCACGTACTGAGGTCAAGCGTAGAGGTGTCCTGCATGTGCTCCAAATCCTCCAGAAGCTGGGGGAAGCAGCTCAGCTGCAGCAGTAGGTGCAGGGCCTTTGAAGAGAAAAAGGCAGATGTGTGGCTAAATAAAACAAAGGTGTGCATGCAGACAGAGGCTCTGCAGCTTGGGGTTTGAGGTGGTGGCTGCAGAGAGCATGGAGGACCCCTTCCCTCGCTATAGGAGAGGAAAACCTGCTCCTCCTCCCCAACCTGCGGGAGGTTGGTAGTGCTGATGGTTACCATCCAATGCTTGCCTCCAATACTCGTCCTGAGGAGTGAGGCCACGGGGTGCTGTTTCTCTCCTCTCATTCATAAGACAACTCCTCTGTGCATTTTACTTCAGGTTTGCAGGATTGTGCTGTGTGGGGGTTATTGTTTTCCTGCAGACACATGGCATTATATTTAAGTCACTGGATACATTAACACCACCATCTGGTTTTGTTTTTCAAATGACAGCACACTATTTGTTAAATACTTTCTACCCTATCTTCTTTAAGATATTCTGGGGATAAAGTCTGCAGTGCTGTACGTACGGAAGGACAAACCTTATCAAGTTTGCTTGTTTCACTTACCAGTGTAGACTTCACGTTGCTTTCCAGCTCTCTTTAGAGTACGCGTTCCATATTTTCATTAACTTGAAACAGAAAACAACTTTCAAAAACCTATGAACTATGCAGCATGAAGAGCACAGCTGTAGGAGGCTTGCTAGGAACAACATGAGAGGCTGTCCAAACAGAAAATGAATGCTTTGTTTTTTGGGTATTCAGTTTGTGCCATTAATAATGGATCTGGCTTCTGGAAGGAGCTTGTCACTTGAAGGTGACTTGAAAATCCTTTAGAAAGTATGAATCACCCATAAATTCCTGAACACCTCCAAACCCAAACACTTCTGAAACTACAGCTAAGTCATAGCTGGTAAATCCTTCCATTTACTGTAGTAATTTGATAAGTGTACAAAGACCTTTACAGAGAACAAAGTGAGATAACTCTCCAAGACGCAGTTAAAATGCAATAAAAGGATTATTCACAACTCTCTGTTTTGCCTGTATTAGGCAAGTGGTCCATTTGTTCCTCTTCTTATGACCTTCTCAGATGACAGAGACGGTTACTTGGTGTGTCCTCAATGGGCTTTTATGTGACCAGGAGAGGAACATCTATCACTCTTACCCAAACTATACACAGACTGACTACGTATTTGCTGTAGCCTTTATTAAAGAAAGCTCCATTGGTACAAATATTTGCCTATCTGCTTGCCAGTGACACCTGTTGCCAACCACATCCAGTGACAATGAACAGGATTTTTTTTTTATTTTCTCAAAACTGGAATATTTACATATTTAAACCCCGAGGCTCTGCCCACTCTGCCCTTTACTCCAGATCGTCGCCTCTGCACGAGTGCACTAAATAAATTAACAAGTTATCAACAAGACTGCCAGGCCACTTCGGGCTCCCCGTTTCTGCGCCTGTCATTGCCACTCAGGGCTCTGCTGGGACGTGACAGCCCCGCAGCACAAGGTCACCCCCCCCCCCCAGCCACTCTCTGGCTGCTGCTTGGAGGCGACCATTCTGAGAAATGATTTGTTATGGTAGAATCAGAGGCATATTTGTTAGTTAATTCATTCTGTAAAACTCAAATGAGATGAAAAACAAGCAGAGATCTGACAAATGGCATTTAATTATGTCTGAGCCTAAAATTCATAATACATATTTATGCTGCCCTAAGTCATTCAGAGCCAAGGTCCCTTTTATTCTCATAACTGAGTCCAATTGCTGATATGGGAAGAGGGTGTTAGTGATGGGCTACTTTTCATTACAGTGCCTCTTTCTTTATGCCTTGACTTCCCATCCCCTGCGCTCACCCCGAGCAGCCCTCTTCCAGGTGTTCTTATTCCACGGCCTGTGCAAATACTGCAAAGACCTTACAGTTACCCATTAGCTTTATCTTGAAAGATTTCAGTGGTCTGCCTTCTAATCTTGTCTGGTCTCTAACTTCTTCATAGGTTTCTGTCTCAGGCTTGGGGTGTAGGAAGACACCAGGAAGTGTTGCAAGGACCGTGTCCCCGATGAGCTACAACCTGCAGAAAGGATGGGCCCTGCGGCTCTCAGGATAACTTGCTTTCTGCAGAGGAAGGGCAGCTGCCTCTGCAGTGACACCAGCAGCACTGGTTAGTGCAGTACAAGTAGAAACACCTTCAACTGATGTTGCAGAGGCTGGACAGACAATATGAAGCATAGGCTCCTAGGAAGTGGACACTCTGGCACGTGTGCCTCAGAACAGAAGCTCAGACCTGGAGAAATATCAGCAGGCACTGACTGAAGAGCTCACCTGAATGAGCTACATATACATCTGCTTCCACCTTCAGCTGCTAGAAAGCTATGGACTGCATTTGGTGTAAAGGATTTAAATGTTTTTGTCACAATACCATATGCTGCAACTCTGCAGAAGATGTGTGTATATTTTTACAATGGCTTGGTGCTATTATTGTAAAAGTAAGCTGTTTCTGAAGCCCTTCTGTCAGTATGGCATAGGGTCTCCAACCAGCATCCCGGGCAAGGTGTGACTGAGGAGAGACCTAAGGGAGAAGGGTTTCTATCTTCTCCCCCTCCCTGCTTCCTGAACCTGTGCTCCTGGGAGAGCCAGCTGCATCGCAAGGCCTGCCCCTGACCATGAAGTCAACAAGAGGCTTGTTGTCCTCTGCAGGGAACCCCATGGAAGCCTGACCCTGCCTCGAGTCCTCTTCCACCAGAGCCCATGAGACATCAGCCCCAACAGCTTCATCTGGTCTCCTGAAGGGTCGTGCCAGAGGATGACCTCCCCAGCAGTCCAGGAGGAGGCGATTTCACAGCCCACATCTGGCTGCCCTGCTGTCCCTGCCTCTCTTGCCATGGGACTCTGCAAGCCCAGAGAGCGCTCCTCGTGCTTCTTGACATTCTTGCCCTGCAGAGGCACCGGAGACACCACCTCTCCTCCCCTTTCTCCTGGCATGCTGCCACCCAAACTCACCAGGCAGCTTCAGGGATTTTTTTTTTGGCCTCTGGTGGGAAATTTCCTTTGACCCTTTCAAGTGGGACAAGAACAGATATTAGATTTGTTGACGATGAAGTGCTTTTATCTGGATTCAACAAAAGAGGTACAATGAAAAGACTGCAGCTGTTGAGCGAAGGCGCCGCACCTATTACAGAGTTCATACGCATTTACAAGTGGCACATCAGCGAAGGCTCTCCTCACCCCAGCAGATGTACGCCCCTTCCACAGAAAACTTGTTAATCTTTCCGTCAGCTCTGCATGCTTTGCATACCTCTGGGAAAACGTGGTGTTTGACTCTCTTGCCAGATCTTGCAATGATAGAAGTGCTATTAGCAGGTGAAAGCTACATGGAAGCGTTTTATCTTTCCGTAAGTCTTCTAGGTCTTCTTGCTGCAGGACGGGACAGCAATTTAGAGCCCCAGATAACTCGGGTTATAACTAGATTTTAAGAACACCACTGCCCTATCGAATACACATCTACTTACACTCCCAGACTGCCTATACGTGACACAGGGTGCATATAGATAGATGATAGATAGATTTCGGGTAGGAATATAATTAAATTCTTACTTGTTTTTATACACACACGAAGTCACGCAGCTACTAAAACAATATGTTCTAAAATTAAGGTAGCAAATCAACTCAGTCAGGAAGCAAGTAACTCAGACTTGGCAAAGGAGGCTGAAAAAAACGTTACTATTGTCTGACATCATACAGCAACTGCACTTTATAATAAGGGCAATAAAGCTTCTACTAACCAGAGAAAATCCTGATGAAATTTGGGGAAGGATATAGCTTGCAGTCAATCAAGTGTGCAAAAGTAGCAATAAGCATTTGCCCAAGTCCTAATGAAGCAGGGACATGAGAGCATGGTTGAAAAGGAACTGCAAATGCTTTGCAAGCTCCCCAGGGTGGCCCAGGCAGGGGACAACAATATTAGTGAAAGGTCAAAGAGAGCATTACTGGCCTTGAATACATGCACTGTGATAGTGACCAGTGCAGCCACCAAGGGCCAGGGTCCCCAGGGCTGCTTTAATTTGTGCCGGACTGAATTTCATTAGAAGCCCCCTGAAAGCCCAGTCTTGCTGGAGCACGCTGCCTTTCCTCTCCCCATGGCCCTTGTGTCCCACCACCCACATTCAGGAAAGGGAACACACAGCAGGTGGGATTCGGATGTTTTGTAATGGAGAAAATGTTCATACAGGGAGCATTCAGTTCTTTTGCACTGATTTCCAAACACTTGCCTTCCCCCAGTACGAGCCTTCCTAACTGCTGAATGAAATATAGACATGGCATGGTAATTTTGCAGCCTCCTTTATGCAAAAATGCTATAGCAAAGGGAAGACACCAGGATGAGGACAACATGTTAGGAAGAATTTCTTTACTGAAAGGGTTGTTAGACACTGGAACAGGCTGCCCAGGGAGGTGGTGGAGTCACCATCCCTGGAAGTTTTTAAAAGACGTTTAGATGTAGAGCTTAGGGATATGGTTTAGTGGGGACTGTTAGCGTTAGGTCAGAGGTTGGACTCGATGATCTTGAGGTCTCTTCCAACCTAGAAATTCTGTGATTCTGTGAGTTATGTCAGTGAACAGTAACAAGAATGAGGAATACACAGGAAAACAACCACTGAGCTTTGCCTCATTCCTACAACTTTTGCATCTCACAACGTTCGCGTGCTTTAACCCAAGTCAGTGTTTGCCCCACTGACATCAGTGGCTACATGCTCCTAGATTTCAGTGACATGAACATTTTCCCCTGGTTCTGTTCTGGTTCTTGTCTTTTCTGGCCTCTGACTTACTTTATAGACACGCTGGATCCTGTTGTGGTTGCCCTGTACCTTGTTTAGTTCATGCCGTCTACACCAAGAAGTTCTGGAGTGCTTGCAGGCAACTTCATGCTTATAATCCTCTGAATTTGCTTGCACAAAAATGACTGCACCACTGCATGTGATGGGGAAAGTCGAAGCCCATGGGTCGCAGCAAAGCCTATCACAGTCAGTGCAAACATTGCCACAGTGTTAAACAGATTTTGGACCTGACCTTGTGCATTCAGGAGTGAATTCTACTTAGCATATTGTCACAAAGGTTGTTCTCCACCGGGTTTCTTTTCTGTCATCCTGCAGATCTATGGCAAAGTGTTGGCTCAGTGCCCATTCAAGTCAGCCCCATGGGCTAGAAGCTCCGCTCCTGCACAGCCTTTAGTGGTGTTAGCATGCACCAGCAATAACCACAGCTGTGGCAGGACAGAAAAACACCTCCAGCAAAGGTTCACCTAGGTCAAGCTGCTTTGCTGGGATGACAGCAGAGCTCCATCTCTGCACTGGAGGGGACTCTGGCAGTACGAGAGCTCAGGTGGATGTTGGAGCAGCAACACCATGCTGTGGCTGCTGCGATGAGCTGAGGATCAGCGTCATCTCAGTCTTGGCGTTGTAAGCAATCCTGTCTGCCTTTGCAGGATTTGGGCTGGTGCTGAGAGGTGAGTTCCCCTCTGCAGGGCCTTGCAGCCTTTACTAATGGAAATGAGTTGCTGTGGTCATGATCCTGTTCACACCATGGACTGCTATCAGCATTGCCAAAGTCTAGGCAGCATCCCTAGCTCCTTTTTGAAGTCTTCTCTTTTTTTAAAAAAATTTAAGGATTATACCTTACAAAAATAATCATAAGGATTTAAATAATAATTTCTTCCTAGCACCTTGCTTCTTAGTAAAATCTCAGAAATATACATCACGTTCTTATGCTTCCAAGTAAAAAGATTTCTAGTTAGACTAAAACAAGGAATTTTACATTTCTGATTTACTGTTTTTCTTCTTGGCTGATCCTAGTTCATCTTCAAGGCCTTGAGGAGTTATAATATGCAGATGAAGAACGGAGAAGTCACTCTCTGGCCCAGCACCCCCTGCCCCAGGACATGGGAGGACACCTTCCTCACCTTGCTAGCTTCCAAGTCTGGAGCCCCTGGTGCAGAGAAGCAGCTCGTTGTTCAAGGTTCAGAGCGTTTTCATGGACAAGTGGGGTCATTGGCAAAGCTTGCAGCCAAACCATGAAAGTTTTTCAATTGACTTCAACACAACATTTACTCTGCTCTGATGAACAAAGCAAACGTTCAGTTAACTACTGACATGCAGCTTCTGGTCCTAATATCGAATCTTTTTGTTCTCTCTTTTTGTACCTTTACCAAATAGTAGTAAATTATTTCATGGGGTAACCTGACTTTCCTTCTCTTCCTCTGTCTTTCGAGAAAGTGCCTTCTAAGGGAGAGCTGCAGTTTGCAGAAAAGCCCAGGCACAACCAACAAGCAAGACCTAGTTAGAGCAATCGGTGATTTCAGGCTCCCTCCTCATCCCAAGTGGCTCTGGCAGTTTCCTTTTAGTCTTCAGCATTGCTCATATTATTTACACAGCTGCTCCAGTAACTTTTTCTTGTTATATATTTATTTCTTACTAGTTGTGTTTTTTTAATATTATGTATATATTAAATTTTTTCTCCCTTTAGATTTTAGAACAGCATCAGTTTATGTTTACTGCCTTAAAATGTGATTTGCTTGTAATTAAAAACACAAATCTAACAGTGCCTAGATTTAAGGGTGACCTGTGTTTATTAATGGGATGCAAGGGCAGGGTTTGAAAGCTGGGCTCTATCATTTCAACATCCACAATCAGTTTTTAAAGTTTTTCTATTATTATTTCAAGGTCTAGGTGTCTAAAATTATATCATTTTTCTCACTTTTTTTTTTTTTTGCTAGCTGCTTTCTAAAAAAAATGCAGCTGCACATGTTATAGCTGTGTGTCCGTATGCCCACTGGATTTACATGCACAATTACCCCAATGGCACACAACCCTCAGAAGCCTGCACATGCAAAAAGCCTGCTAGCTGTAAAACTGTTGGCATGGATGCTCGATTTCCATATGCAGTCACAATGAATATGCATGTACATTAGGTGCACAAGCGCACACATTTCTGAAACCGGAGGCCTCAATGTGAAACTAAAGAAGAAAGGACAAACGCTTTGGAGGAGGGCTTTAGGTCAAATTCAGTGCTAACAGTTAGCAGGCATAAATCTGCTGGATTGTACTCACGTGTCTTATATCAGTGCAACTCATTTTCTTCAATTAGATGTAGGAAAATGCTGTGGATTTATAGTTTTCTTATTTTTGCCTTTACATCTTTTGTATGTTTATAATTTTCCTTAGTTTTCCTTTTCTGATTTTAATAGATGAAAAACAGCCCATTGTATTTTTTTTTTCCCCAGGCTCCTCAAGTTAACAGAAAAACAGTTTCTAGGTACTAGCACGCTTGAAAATTAGCAACTAGAGACTGTAAACATAGACTTAGGTGTCTGAATTTAGGCACCAATTTTTTAAAACCTTGGCTTAGAAAATAAAATAACTGAATGTATATAGATAATATAAATCACCAGTCACTTTTATTACATGTATGTTTATATAAAGACCTTAGAACACGTTTTAAAAAATGTAAACGTTCCTTAGTATGTTTAACTATGTGTCTAAAGAAGATGTAGGACAGAAAGAAAACAAAAGTTTGACGAATGTTTCTGATCAATCCTGAAGAAATCAATAGGAATTCACTCACAGCATGATTTCATTTAACTTTCCATGCTAGGAATAGTAACCTGGCTTTCTGTTAAAGCTAAAGCATTCCTACTTCTTAGTGATTTAATTCTCATGTCAACATATATCAGCCAGGCAGAGAACGGCTCGGAGCTGGGGAAGGGGAGGAGTGGATGGAAACATGCAGAAATTGTGTGGACTGAGTTGTATGGTTGAGTGACTTTGTTTCACCAAAACTGGTTTCTAATAGAAAATAGCAGTTTCATTGTGATGCACGCTTCTCTTCCCTTTTGAGGTTGCCAAAAGTGTCTGCTTTTTAGAGCATGGTTTATTGCTTATTTGGAAAATATGTAACACCTGAAAATCGGAACAGCTTGGTAGAGAAAAAAACACAACACATTGAGTTGCAAGCACTGCTGTGGTGCGTTCTTAGAAGCCCCTGCCTGGGTGCCCCCCTCCCTGTCAGCTACACACACACCAAAATTCCTCGAATTATGGTATCTCCATCTCACTCAATATTAAGAGGGGAGATGAGACCAGAGAACAAGAGGCTCGAGGCATGCAAACCGTAGTACTTGTGGATGAGTCCAATTTCTTGATTTTTTTTTCCCCCCAAAAAATGTTTGTCAGAAACACATTTCACAATTTTGCTTTGGAAATATAAACTTTCCATTTTCTCACAAGAATTCTAAGTATTCAATGAAGAAAACCACCACTCCCCACAAAGCAAGGTAAAGCTGTTAGCACTGCAGGCTCCTAAGTCAAACTTCTGCTCCTTAGCAGACCAGAACCTTACATGGTGTATGGGAACCAATGGAGCATTCAAACCCAGAACATCTGGTTTGCAACATTTTGTTCATTTGTCCGTGTTTGTGCTCCTGAATGCGTGTGCAGTTGGGTCTGTAAGTGTGAGTGCATGCCTGTTATTTATTCTAAATATAATCATTTTTCTGAAAGAACATTATTCATACTGAGATAAAAGAACGCTATCCTTCATAGGCCTTTGGCTCAAAACCTTGAGCCTGACACTTAGCACTATAAAGGACTACACCAAAGTGTAAAAACAGTTCTCCAAATACTGAGAAGTAGTCCAAGCTCAGGTTGGTCCACTACAAGAAATTATGGATAATGAAAAAGATCCCAGCTCTGCTGCTCCATTGAATCCCCAGCTATACATAAAGCAGATGCCCTTTTTAAAATATGGGACACGTAGGCTAAGAAACTTATATCAGCTAGTGACACCTGAAAGTGACCTTGCTTTGCAATACATGTTTTTGTCTTGTCTACACACAAAATTATGCATGTGCACACACTCTATGGCTGAAACAATGATTTATTCTGAATTCTTCCATCAGTGTCCAGATTTGACTGACCGTGGAATTCATACAGAACAGATGAAAAACATTTTTCTTTTAGGCAAAACTGTTGAGTGAGTCTGCAAAAGGAAACACCATAAAAGCCAGTTTCAGCCCAACAAGCTAAGGAGGCTCTATGATCTTTATTTTCAGTTATTTTTGTGGGCAAGATATGAAGCAAAATAGCTGTGTCTGTTTAGCTGCCTGAATAATAGAAAAAGTTTATGCAGCTCTTGAGCTGAAATGTTTTTGACAGTTTTCAATTTTAGCTCTTTTGATTTTGTAAGAAATCTGCAAAAATATGATTTTGAAAATCACCAGTTTCATGCCTTATTCCTTTCTCAGAATTAGACTATATTGTCCAACTCCTCTTCACTTACAGTGTCTGAGGGAATCCTAGAGAATAGCTGGCAAGAATCAGCGCTGGGCTGTTGCTTAGAAACTGCCTGCGTTTCTATATTATTGCCTGATGTAATAGTTATATTGCCCACTTGCATCTGTTAACAAGCAATACAACAGAATCCACAGGTACCAATAAAGAAATAAACCTGGCATTCATTACTTTGCTTGAAAATTCATCAGTGCTTTTTTTCTGGCTTGCCAACAGGGAGGAAAAACAATTTGCTCAGGTGCTAATTAATAAAATAGGAGATGTACTGACTCTAAACATATCTATTTTATTTAGATTTATTTATTTTGCCCCAGGGAAAAATATGTTGTAAAGAATAGTGTATTAGTATAATTACAATTTTGTAATGTTGTGGAAAGGTATGAGCTGTGGTTTGTTGGTTGCTTTTTTTTTTTTCTCCTGTAAGCCACAGTGTGGTAATATGACCATTCTTTTAACATTTTTAATAGAAGTAGCACAAATTCATTTATAAAAGGAATAGGACAGGTCATTTCTGTTGAGCACTACTACGAGATGCTCAGCAAATCCCTAGCTACAGATGAATGAGCTTACCTTAGTGGCATCAATATTGCCAAATCCAAGGGTGTAAAAAGGAGCAGATGGGATGATGAGAGCATGAGATGGGCTCTGTGAGTGCTTTTGTGAAAGCTATACATCCCCATATACAGATTGAGATTGAAAAAAAAAAAAGACACTTTTTTGGTTCATGTATTCAAGTTTATCTTACAAGAACAAGGGCTAGATTTCTCTCCCCATTAAAAGCCACAAAAAAATCACTATTTCTGGCTATAAGAAAATCACCGGCTGTCCTGAAGACAGTCAGACTGAAGAGAACTGGCAACACTGTCACCCAAACGCAGCAGCTCATCCCTCATGCCTGCATGTAGAGTAAATGTAATAAAAGTGATTGTAGCCCAAACCTGAGTGATAAAAAGTGGGGGAAAGCACCCAAAGGGTTGCAGGGAAGAGCAGGCTCCGTGATAGTTACTTTTCACAAGTAAATCTTACTCATGGGAGTACAGAAACTGCTTAGACAAACTACTTTTTGCTCTGTCTGGGGGCCTAGTTTTGTAAGAGAAAACAGCTTGAACTTTGCTGTGTCTTCAGGCTCCTTCTCCGCAGGCACTGGTGCTGTGTTGGAGCACTGCAAAAGCTGAGGCTGCTCAGCAAAAACAAACGAGGGGGTGTACGCTCAGCACAACGCGTGGGGATTTATGAATGCAACTCACATTAGTGTTAATGGGAGTTACACACGTAAATCCCTGCCCTTCAACATGATAATACATAATATACCCCTTAATTTTTAATTCACCAGGGTCTCAATTTTAAAGCATTTTCATATAGTTTGTCCTAATTATAATCGTTTTTAATGACAGCTTAAAAATTTCACATGACTGTCTTATCACATACGGTACTTAATTTCTCAAGTGAACAGTTTCAATGTAGTGTATTCTGGGAATTTTGAGAACTAAAACACTAAGGAAAAAACGACTTTGTATAATCAAATGAGATATTATTCTGCTATGTTTTATATACACTGGGACAGAGTTTCTCACAGTATTGGTGGCCATTTTGAAAAGTACTCAGAACCAGTTTGGGTTTGGAAAGTTATCAGCTTAGTCTCGGTATTATGGCCAAGGACACCTCCCCCCCTTGCCAGTACTGATTCAAATTAGTACATAATTATTAGTTAATGCAGACTTTGGGGAAGTTTCAGACTATTTTTCCTTTTCTATAGGACCTCACAAACTCCAAATGCACAGCTTCAACATCATAATCTGGACACCCAGACGAGCCTTTGCACACTGACAAGAGACCGAATTCAGAGTACATCCACATGCCCTACATATCAAACATTTTCCCTTACTCCCAATATCTCATTTGGTCAGGTTAAATAATTGAGATCAAAGTAACCGGAGTCAGAGATCTCCTGCACTGCCTGTCTTGACAGATGGACACATGCCCTGGTACCCCCTCTAACACCCAAGCATCTGCCTAACTTTTCCCTGAGCCCCTGCTGCTAGGAGCCCAGCCACTGACTGCAATGGTCAACCAACAGCTTCTGGGAGTCCCATTTCAAGCATTTCCCTGCTCTGCAGCCAGAGCTTTATGCTCTCTTATTTCAGTTCTTGAACTGCTTTTCTTGCAGAACTGGTCTTCTGCTTTGACATTGTGTTGACTAAACTAAGCCCTGCATTATTTTTAGCTCTTCACTTTCAGAGGGAGTAGCATACACATATGTAT